ACTCTGCATGAGTCACAAAAGAAAGCGATAGCTTGAGACGGTGTCCGTTGTAGATGTCCATATAGGCCCGGACAGATACCACAGCAAGCAGCATGAATCCAACCATCACGCAAAGAGCACTGTACGGCCTTCGATCGGTAAGTCACAATTTTACTACAGGAGACACATCTGGAAGCCATTGGGAAATGATAAAGGACGTAAACTAGAGGTAGCACGAAAAAATACTTGTCAACCGAGAGCTCTGCAGTGCAGGACGGCGCTATTCGCAGACGTGATGCGGTCTTTGATTTAGGTCAATCAGCATTTCAAAGTTCGTCAACTCCTAATTTAACGACTCGCCGAAGAAGGAACACTCACGGGATAACCCTATCGTTCCTGTCCCGCTTGAACTTGAACTTGACGTTTCAAGGTCATTCATCTTGTTATGTTACCGTGACACTGCCCAACTGCTCGCGCCCCTCCGCATGCGCTATAACTTGTACCCTCTTGCACTAAGATTGCAAAACCTATTCGTAAGTCGTGCTGTAGTAAATATGCCTTATAGAACCACGGTTACAGGATACTTCGTTTTATTCTTCTGCCTAAACCGTGCGTTAAGTCTAGGTTTATTTGTTCGTTGTTTCTAGTTTAATTTTCGTATGAGGTACTTAGTTTAGGCTTCGCGTTGTTCGTACAGACTCTGTGGATGATTTTGAGGCACCTAAATGGAAAGTGAAACCATGTGCTGTGATCCTCCACGGCAGGCAATTTGACCATTGTCCCCTACATCTTCCATACGGAAATGCACCGCCGCTGTGCAGACCACGCTTCATGATAGACAAATCCCAGGTTAGCGCCTTAATCACTTACATCTACTTAACAACAACAGTACCCAGTACGAGCGGGGATTCGGCTCTGGTGAACAAGTCGTTTAGTGTTTCCAATGGTAAACCCTTCGTTTTCTTATTTGTGATGCTTTATGCGAACGTTATCAATGCTCAGTCTGAAGAAGGTCTCTAGCGGTTTGCGTGCGACATCAGAATCAAACTGTTCTACTGCGACTGCCTCAGCTTACTAAGACTACTGGCCGCAACGGCACGTACTCTTGTTCTGAACTGGAGGTGATGGGGCTGACATAGGTCCACACCCTGGGCTCTACAAACAAATAAGTGAACTCGCAACACAAACGCTAATGAAGTTGGCTTTTCGCCATGTCAATAAGTGTCCCCAACCATACTTCTTTCGGACTCGAGCCGAGAATAAATTCGAAGTTGAAACCATTGCTCTTGATCAGGTCATCAGCTGGTGTCCTCTACCATCCAGCTTCCGGTTTCTCAAAAGTGCACAGGAGTTGGTATACCTGTATGTCTAACATACCAGAGACTGGTATGTGAGATAATGGCGCTGAGCGCTTCACTTGCTTTTCCGGAGCCACGAATAAGGTCGTGCACATGCATTCGCACCGGGAACGCCGGGTTCACAACGATACAGGAGGGTTGAACGTATAGCTACACTGCGGACTCTACTCTTCAGCTGGTAGGTGCTGCCGCACCGGCGCTCTAATTGGCGATGGTTAAGAATGCGATGCGGTTTGTGATAACATCTTCTGTTACACAGCCGCTGATATAGCTGTATAGGTAGTTGAATCTAGCTGATCCCATTAAGGGTCGTCGCGGGAGTTGATCCCTTCAATACATAGATGTGAGCTTTGCGTTTTGAGGGTGAAAAGCCCAGCCCGATGTGACTCACAACTAATGCTCATCCGTCTAGCGATACATGGTAAGTTCGTGGGCTGTCACCGATGACAACAATATCGTCGATATACTGCAATTCGAGAATTTAATCGCTTAAAAGCAACGAGTCCCATGAACATGGTTATTATAACGTCCTCAACAACGACAAAATGGGACAAAATGGAGCTCGAGAGGGTTCTGAGAATAGCTACCAGATTGGTCGAGGGGTTACGGGGGCAATCGTACCCCGGGCGTCTACTTAGCTTGGGTATGTATTCAATGCAATACCGACGGCTTCGAGGAGACCTAATCCTTACTTACCGCATTTTAACAGGAAAGGTTGGACCGGACTTGAGCTGGCTATTTAGCCCGGCTAGGTTGCCTTGTCCTCGCGGTCATCCCATGAAGCTACACAAGCCGCGTTCTGACCGGATCAGGGCGGAAACTCGGTTATCGCGTGGAGTTATCGAGCGCTGGAACTCGCTTCCAGAAAGTGTATTCAGTGAACCTACGGTTAAGGGTTTCGAGCGTCAGTTAAACGCTCTTGGGTGGCAACACGAAACCTTTCCCTTCTCCTGAACATATCCATCTTCAAACTTTTAGTTCTTATTCTGTCATTCTCTTCACTCTTTGGTGTTATCTTTCATTTAAATGAATTTCATTCCCCTTTATCTTCCTTTTACTTTCTACTTCTTTCTTACTGCTAGTGCAGGGAACGTGGGCAGTAATTGGTTGATCAGGGTGTGTTTCGGGTGTTTCTTTTTAGATCTATCAAGTCCTAGCACCTTATCATTTCCTGGCTCAACGATCCGATCAAGAAGGAACACTCAAGGAATTTTCCTATCATTCCAGTCCATCTGAATCTAAAACGAAAGTAAGAAGGACAGGTTGCAGCGGGCATCTCTGTCTTTCAGTGCAGTGATGTGACGGTTTGCCATAAGCCTTTATTTCGCTTGGAGTATGCACCTAAAACGTCTATGTCATGTGTGCATATTTTTCGGGTATATCTTTCCTAATCGGCTGGCTTGCCGAACAACCTCCTCGTGGTGCCCGCTGGGTGGTTCAGGACTTTCCCGTTCCAGCAAATGATTCGGCGGCAGTGTTCCAGGACGTGGTAGGTTTTCGCCTGCCAAGCGTTCTCCCTATAAAAAGCCACATATGTCCGTTTAACAACACAGTGATATGGCGGAAGTGACTCGCCACTAAATAAACTCACCGCCCCTTGCTTCATCTAGGCGACGCATTGTATTCCAGCAACTTTATGCTGTAATTCTGGGGAGCATTGGGACCCTGTTTGACAAAGGAACAAACGAAAGGCGTATGAACTGAGCAATCAGTCACTGGCTCCCAATGGGCGCGATTCCCTGAATTCGCTCCGCTGGCTTGCGTGCAGGTTATTCAGCCAAAGGCTTGGGGTGGTGTCCCCTAAGTCAACACCCTACTTCTGCTTGGGCAGCCGTGTAGTATCTCGCTCTCCGACGAAACCATGGACATTGTTGTGTTGTGTTTTCTTTTGCCATTTCTGTACCTTCGTTTGAATCCCATGGTTCTGATGGCTTTATGTCTATTCGTAGACCGTCGCAATATATATATATATATATATATATATATATATATATATATATATATATATATATATATATATATATATATATATATATATATATATATATATATATATATGGTTGGCGGCATCCTGTGGCAAGCCACAGGACGCCTGCGCCTACAGAGGGACCATGGATGGCTTGCGCTGCACCACCCACAGCTCCAACCACACACCCATATCTAGTGTAAACCCGAAGGAATAAGACCGGGAGGCATGCGGATGGGAGCCACGTTTCATCAACGGAGCCGGCCCACACTCCTTCACAGGCAAACACAAGCACACTGTATTTGGGGAATCAAGCGCACACAAGGCGGTGGCTGGACCGTAGTCCGCTCCATACTGAGTGCATGGAACCACTCTTCGAGCCTAGCACGGCCACAAGGGTCGTACACCCCGTCCCGTCCAGCAACGACCAACTGTCTCCTGGAGCCAGTATGGACGAGGTAGTGGGTAATAGACAGGTAGGCACCTTGTCAACATGCACATCAAGCGCAGCCACACCGGGGATATCAAACAACAGCCAATCACTTGAGAGAGAAAGAAAAAGAGAAAAACTCGATTAATGCATAAGGAAACGGTGACATAAACCTTAATTAAATAGCATACGTAATAAGTTGTTTACAAACAAATCCTAGCTAAGTGCACGAGGTCAGGAAGTATAGTTCACGGAATGCCACGAACACAAAAATGTTATGGAAATCGAATACAATTGGCTGAAGCGATGTGTGCAAGTTAATGGAATAGAGTACAGGGAGATATTTATATGAGAAAGAAAAGCATTAAGGTAAAAACTGTAAACCCACCACCTGAAATAGAGACTTAGCATGCAAGCACGCGGTTAGTAAATCGAATTCAGCGTGCCTACAAACGCTGCGCCGGCGCATCGTAATTCTCTGCAGGACCCGTCGTCGCTTCTGTAGTGGCCCCAAATGGCACAGCGCATGGCCCACTAGACATTTATATGAGAAAGAAAGGCATTAGTAGAGAACCGAAAACCCACCACCTGAAATAAAGAGACTTAGCATGCAAGCACGCGGTTAGTAAATCGAATTCAGCGTGCCTACAAACGCTGCGCCGGTGCTGCCTACGTTCACTGCGGGACCCGTCGTCGCTTCGGCAGTGGTCCCGAGTGACCTCTCTCATGGCTCACTAGGCCTGCCTGACTAAGGCACTCGCGACCGCATTTTCTACAGCACAATGCGCTCGATGTCGATGGAGTACAATTCATCGGTGCTTGCCGCTTCCACAACTGCCGCTTCTTCTCTGCATGCATGAGGGATTTCTCCCGCACTTCAGCAACTGCCTTCGTGATTAGATCGCGCCATGCACCACGATCAACCGCCTTCGATTCCCATGATCTGCAATCAAGATTAGAACGTGTGAGGCTCACTTTAATCATGTCCTGGTAACGTAACTTTGGTTTCCCCACGTGCCGCTTCCCAATACTCAGCTGACCGTATAAAAGTTGTTTCGGTATCCGCGTCGAATCCATACGGCTCACATGACCGAGCCATCTCAGGTGTCGCAGTAAAAGTATGCAGTCCACTGCATACATCCCACTTCGGCGCAACACTTCCGTGTCTGCAACTCTGGCGCCCCAGCCGATCCGCAAAATTCGTCGCAAACACTGCTGAGGGAACCGCTCGAGATATCGCACATCCCGCCGGTACATCGTCCACGTTTCACTGCCGTATAGAAGAACGGACAGTACCATGGATTTGTACACCATCAGCTTCGTGCCAATGCTAAGCTGATGGTTGTTCCACACTCGGTACTCAAGCTTCCCGAATGCCGCTGCCGTCTTCGACACGCGATTACGCAACTCAACGTGTAGCTGCTGATCAGTCGACATCACACTCCCAAGGTAGCAGAAGCGAGAGATGGTTTCCAATACTTCAGCACCAATGCTGATTTGCGGCAATATTGAAGATTGCACCTCCGGTGAGGGCTGAAAGAGACAGACAGTTTTGCTTGTGTTGATGGTGAGCCCGAATTTGGCCGCTGTCGAAGCCAGAGCACTAGTCATGTGCTGCAACTCATCCGCGCTGTGTGAAAACAGCGCACAGTCGTCAGCAAACAGCAACATACGGATAGTTGTCTCACAGACTAGAGTTCTTGCACCGAAACGACGGATGTTCAGCAACCCACCATCAGTACGGTACTCCACACGAACACCGCAAGCACAAGCCGCATCAAAAGCACAAGACAACATTGCATGAAGATAGATATTAAACAGGGCAGGAGCTAACGCACAGCCTTGCTTCACACCAGAGACAACTGTAAAGTCATCAGAGGTCTCTCCACTCAGCTGCACCCTCGCTCGCATACCACTGTGCAGACATTCAATTAAACTTACAAACTTACGCGGGCAACCAAACTTACCCAACACCAGCCACAGTGCCTCGCGGTTCACCGTATCAAATGCCTTGGTGAAATCAACAAAAAGCGAGTACAAAGGCTGGTGTCGTTCTCTGCACTTCTCTTGCAACTGACGAGCCGCAAACACCATATCTATAGTGCTGCGACCCGAACGGAATCCACATTGCTCTTCCGCCACGTTTGGTTCCACAATCTGACTCACGAGGCGATTGAGCAGGATTCGGGCAATCACCTTGCCCACACAACTCAGCAAGTTGATGCCACGATAATACGTGCAACATTGCTTGCTCCCTTTGCCCTTGTACAGTGGTAGCACAAGGGCATCCTTCAGCTCAGAAGGCACCTCCTCCTCAATCCACACGCGTTGCACCAAGTGGTGCAGCGCAGTCAACAACGCGGGTCCACCGTGTTTCAATACTTCAGGTGGGATCCCGTCACCTCCGGCACATTTGCCGTTTCGCAGCTGAGCAAGTGCTCTTTGCGTCTCATCCAGTCTCGGCGTATCCGCCAGATCCGCCTTCACATCGTGCTGCTTCAGGCCGTTCAATGTAGGCCAGTCGATCTCTGAACGGTTGTTCAAGAGACAGTCAAAGTGTTTCCGCCAGACCTGCATTATGTCTGCAGTCTGGGTGCAGGTAGCGCCTGAACAACCATCCATCAGTGTCCTCAGCGGCTCCAATCTCGGTCCATACACCGCCTTCAAGGAGTCGAAGAATTCCTTGTGTTGACGGCGTTCGGCGTAGCATTCCATCTGCTTCGCCTTCTCCGTCCACCATGCATTTTTAATGCGACGGAGCTCTCGGGTCAGTCGCCGTCGAAGTTTGCGAAACTGACTACTCTTCCCCAAGTCACTGGGGTCTGCAACATGTGCAGCAAATGCTGCATTCTTCTCTGACACCAATGCGTCAATCGTCACATTGTTGTCATCAAACCAATCAGGCCGCTTACAGTTTGCGCGCCCGATGGTCTCCTCCGCAGCAGCTGTCACCTGGTCGCGAATGTGGTGCCACAGGTCGCCCACTGTGGCTATACAGTCCACATCACCACACAGCCGTGCAGCCATCGCCTTCTCCAGCTCAGTACGTTTCGCCACAGTGCCGAGGGAGAGAATGTTAAATTTACGCCGATTCACGGCGGGAGTGCAATACATCGATTTACGAAAATATATGTACAGTTTGGTCCGAACCAATTTGTGATCAGTGCCACACTCAGCTCCACGCAGTACACGTGTCATGCGCACTTCACGCATATCACGCTGACGTACGATGACATAGTCGAGCAGGTGAGCGTGACCACTCCGTGGGTGCGTCCAAGTTGCTATATCACTCGCACTCAGTGCGATGGTCCCAGGAGGCACATCGATCCATCGGACCCAAGGCATCTTTGATGTTGAGGAACACGACTACGGCGGGTCACCGATATACTTGATGTTGTTACAGTAGCTAACGTAAATATGTGACCAATACTTCATCTTTTCCGATATGCCAGGGCATAGAAGCTTGATGCAATGGACTGAGAGACTTGGTCACGATGTTGCCTACCGTCTTCCTGGATGAGGGCGTTAGGATGATCAACACCAATAATTGGGGACCGTGTCAGACACGGCGCAGCCACGAAGCCAGTGGCTTTCCTTGATTCGGCTTTTTTCACCTGGTTGTTAATTTTCATTCCATTCTGATTTGTCTAACCCATTTCCTCCTTGCTTTCATTTTCTCCGCATTCTATTTGCACCCAACCCCATTGTCTTACCGGTGTTATTTGCTGTTATTTCTTGTGATGCGAGTCGTGACACTTCGGATCATAGTTGATCAACTGACTGAACTGTATTATTCCGGCGAAAAGAGTGGCCCGGCATGATAAATAATAAGTAACAATAACAGGTCATCATCATCATTATACACGTCAGCTAGAGGTGGGAAGCACCTCAGCTACTGTGCCGCAATACATAAAGGAAAATGAAATTAACTACAACAGTTTCATGCCAGCTGAGCTACCAGCAACGGATAAACATCGTTCCGGTAAGCTACCAGCCGGCTACTAGGCAAAAAGAAAAATTATTATGTTTTACGCTACGAACTGAGATCGTAGGTGGAGGGGAGGCTAAAAGGGATGGGGAGGGACAAAGAAACTCACAGCAGGAACGCCACTGAGGTCGGCTCCTTGCCATGTCAGCAAGTGTATCCAGCCAAACGTGTTCACCGTCTTTTGGACCCCAACCAGGGAGCCGAGACGCTCCAACCGAGGCCAGCTTCGAAGTGAGGGCCTTCGTTCCTCTGGACCAAGTCATCGCTTGGCCACCCCTCCTCTTTTTCCACAGGAAAACCATTAAGGTTCTCAACCAAAGCTTTTGGTTCAAAAACCTGTCCACAAGGCAGCTGGTTTGGCGTTGGGCTACAGTGAGTCCGTTTTAAGGAATAAGGAGCCACCCTCACTCCAACCCCCAACCTGGCGGGCCAGGAGGCTGAGTTTGTCTGGCCTCTAACCATTGACCTATCTAGTATGAGTGACTCTGAAGGTACCATTATACTTTGCTACATTTCATCCATCAATAGAGAAGTCTTGTTTGGGGGGGGGAAAGGGACAGTGAAAATCACAACACACCCCATGCGAAGTCGCTTTTCGTCCATTTCAACAAGTGTCTCCCGCCAAGTGTGTCCGTTGTTCTTCAGACTCCAACCCGATAGTCAGAAAGCGCCAGTCGAAGTGAGTCTTCATCCCACTTCACCAAGTCTTCCACCCACCTCCACTCCCTTTCTTTCATTCCGGCTAGCGACGCACATTTAGGGCTCTTCGTGGGAGTCAGTGTTGGGGCATGCGTATTAGATCGGAACTCGAGAGCCAAGAAAAGATTGCCACAACGGATAAACTGTGCTATTATTTTTTGTGCTTTTTTCTGTCCATACATGAAGACTGCATTTGCGCTCATGTGCCAAGTCGCGGGATGTTTGACAACTTTGTTTTACATTTCAGCACTCCTTATAACCGGTCACTTGTAACGTCGTCTAACCGATATCTTGCGGGCTCAAAAATACCTGCTAAGATACTTTCGCGCCGAAATCTGTTGACTGACCTTCCAACCCACCTTGTATTTTATCGAAATGATATCAAATCGTCACATGGCACGCTGTTTCGCCCTAGTATCCAAATTGCTCGCTTCCAGAAGGGTTCTCTCAGCTGCAGCTAGGGTGAACGACGCCATGTGCGGACTTTCAACGGAAATGAAAGAAGTACTGCGTTTCATGTTTCACACTACTCTCCATCAGTTTAGAGCAGCCCTTCATGCGTTTACTGCAGCAGAAATAGATCCACTATCGGCCTCTATTGACAGCTTAGACTGCCTCAACGATCCCAAGGTAGGGAGATACCAACGATCGATACATGCTGATCACTTTTCAGGCGTTGTGGAAAAAGATGGGAGATATGGGTCTGTTGGGGCTAACCGCTCCAGGTAACTGTGTTTACAACTCTTATGTTAAGAAAAATATCGTGGTCTTAATCATGGATTCCTAGCTCAGTGTATAGCTACGGAAGAGATATCTCGAGCGTCGGGTTCCATCGGACTAAGCTACGGGGCGCATTCCAACTTATGCGTCAACCAACTTGTCCGGCATGCTTCCGAAAAACAGGCTGAACGGTATCTCCCTGGCGTAAGTCTGAAAGACCAATTTTACTTTTTAACATTTGTTTCGGTGGGAAATGATTTTCTCTGTCTTTTTGCTGTAGGTTTTGTTTTCTTACAGCCAGTTCAATACCACTAACTCCCCAAGTTACTTTTCGCCAGTGGCATGCTTCCACAGCTATTCTTTGAGCCGTTCGGTCTTCTCAGTATTTTTGTAGCAAAATCTAGTTAGTTAAGAGGCTCCATCACAAGCTGAGGTCCGAAATGTGATCACATCTTTTACTCCTTTTCGATCTCTTGACCCAGATTCTCTCGCATCCTCACTATATGAGGACCGTCCTATTCTTTGGGGTTAAATTTGACCCCTTCCATCTGGGGATCTGGGGCGCCATCAAGTCTTTGATCATCGCTAATGCGGCAATGCGCCAGCGTGTCCGCAACGATGATGTGCGTTAGTGCTTGCTAGACAATGATAATCAGGCTGGTTCTTAAGACCAACAGATAGAACAGAATAAGTTGCGTTGGCTTGGGCACGTACTACGTTTGCCCGGTCACAACTTACAGAGAAGGATTTTATGTCTACGGGATGTAGGGTGGCGCAAGGCTCGAGGTGAGCAAAAGTTGATTTGCTGGGGGGGGGGGAAACGAAGTCAGTGACTACAAAACTGGGTGCCGTTGGTTCGCCTCGGTTTGGGGGCTGGAATCCACTTTATCCACCTTGTGTTTGGCTCGAAACGTTACAGGACATGACTTGCAGTCGGCAGCAGGGGTGCGTCTGCTCCGTCTCCTGGTCAGACTGCCTGTTTGTATTGTGTTTGATGCAGAGTTATCTGCTGGGTGATAGCGGATTATGACGCGGGGGAGTAAAAGGTGCAAAAAAGCTGTCTTGCAGACACCGCCTTATCTTTGCAGGATTGCCAACTGTTGGCCACAGTATGTTATTGACACAAGGTTATGATACCTTGATCCTGTATATTTACTCAGGACATTCAATTTGTACGCTGGATCTCTATTTTCTCCCTCATTGTTATCCGCTCTCTATGTCACCGTGATTGTTCGGAAACGCTGCGCCACATCAGATGTCCGATGTACAGCCAAGTCCTTCTTGCTTGACTACTTATAAGTCTCTTTCTGATATTCACGCACCGCCAATTTCCTCGTTCCGTTTTTCCAATTGGCTGGTATTCACTGTGTTTTATCGATGAATTTAGGTATCTGGAGCTACTTTGGAACCCGAGGTAAATTTTTATGCTGCTCTCCTACTAGCCGTTGTGTGAGCGGCCATAGTTGGTATTTAGCTCGTTGCTATTTAAATCGTATTGCTCACCGGATCTGGTTTTATGATATGGCATGTTTTCAGACCTGGAACACTACAATTCCCTATCCTTGTGCATCATGGACATGTTATAGATTGTTGTTTCACTTTCGCGTTTCATTTTTCACTAACTTTCATACTCACCTGAGAACAAGCTGGTTTTTTCCTATTGATTTGTTTGATTCAGCTAGGCCTTATTATGGGTAGTTGATGGCGTTCGGCGACGGACAACAATGCCATTTATTCAGATAGTGTTCCGGTCTTTTGGCTTTACCCGTCCACATTCACTTGCAATTGACGTACTATGTCCTCGAAGGAAGCCTGCGAGCTAGTACCGCTGCAAGACATTCTATATCACCAGACCGAGACCTAATTTGTAGTGACAGCTTTGCGAGAATATTAGGCAATTTCTTTGGTCAAACTATTTGTAAGTTCTCTGAGACCGTCTCTCTCGGCGCAGATGAACGGCCAGTTGTCCGCTTGTGTTTTCATTCACTCAGATCAAAGTTGTTTAGTTTAGATGCGGGGGGGGGGAGATTGACAAGCGTCTTGGTGAAGGAGCGCTGCACTCTTTCTCGGCATACGTGGTTGCATTTCCTGGTGGTTGTACGAACAATCGAGTAGTAGTATAGCGCAGGGCGAATGCAGACCCTAAATAACAGCATATTAAAATCAGTCATCGCGAATAATGTTTTGAACTTCGTGCTCTGGCCTTTCTGAATTCGACTTGTTCACTAAAATTCCTAGTGATGGCATAACGGCTGCTTCTCACGTATAGAATTATTACATGGTATAGGTTTACCACCATGGTAAAGTGCATTTGGCTAAACTTCACACTTACATGTAAACACTGCATTTGTCCCCGGAGAAGGACATTTGCCAATCCGTACAACACGATTCCAAGGCCAGTAGGTCTATGATAATGCTTTCTAGAGTATCGCTTAAACACTGCATATCAGCTCAGTTCAGCTAAACAACTATGATCCGGGCACCGAAGTGCGGTGGATCCAGTTTTCAAGACTCACATCGCCAGAATAATAATGGTATGAAAAGTAAGCTGAATGCAAATGGAATGTAAAAAGAATATTCTTTAAACTAATCAAGATTGAACTAAAATTAACAGCTAGGTTCAGGGAACCGAATGCGGAAACGCCATTGACTACGCGACTGCGCCATGTCTGAAGGGGTTCCCAACCATCTCGTGGTCCCCATCCACCAAAGCGACATACACCAGTCTAATGAGGTCTCAGTCAGTACTTTAGTGCTCTTATGCCACGTCATCGATTGGCCACCTCGCGGTTCCCTTCAGCTTGGTACAGCCACGGGGTATAATGCACGCTGAAGAAATCAACGGGCTTACGGAGGACATGACCCAACCAACATAGGTGGTTAAGATACAACAAGTACTCGAGTGAGACACTAGAAGGCTCCTTACCAAAAACCAACTGGCGGTCCTCAGCATCGCTCACCCGGTGTTCCCACCAGACGTGGGCAATACTCCGCAAGCACCGGTGGTCAAACGCAGCCAAGCGTTTAATGTCTTCACTGTGAGCTGGACACGTTTTTGATCCTTTCAGTTATATCTTATCGCAGTGTTATACACCCTACCTTTCACTGACAGGTTGATATCCCGCCGTCTCCATGGATGGTTGGGTTTCTGGAAAGCCACACGGGTCTTGATGATATGCGAAGTGGCCTTCTGATTGATATGACCACCAGTGATGACCCAGCTACCAAGGTACGGGAACTGATACAATACAGAAAAAAAGGAAAAAACGTGCAACAGAGGCACGGCGGCTGACTCACGAATAACGGATAGATATCGTTCCGGAAAGCTGACAGACAGCTATTGTGTTGCGAAAAAGGAGGTTATATTATGCCTGCTAAATGCGATTTTGGTTGGAGGAGGAGGCTAAGCGTGGTTGGAAGGGATAAAGAAACTCACAACACAAACACCATTGAGATCGGCTCCTAGCCATATCAGCAAATGTATCCAGCCAAACGTGTTCATCGTCCTTCGGTTCCCAACCTGGAATCCGAGAGGCTACAAACGGGGTCAACTTCGAAGTAAGAGCCTTCATTCCTCTTGACCAATTCATCGTTTGGCTACCTCTCCTCTTCCATCCGCATCCCGGCGCGCCAACTACGCACGTCGTGGGAGTCGGGGTGCTAGCATGCGCAACACGTGGTCCAGCCATCGGAACCTGATGCGTGAAATAACGGTGCTGAGCGTTTCGCTTCTTCTTCCTGCGCCATAAACAAGGTGTCGAACACACTCGTTGCCCACGCAGTGTTCACACCAGATGTGAGCCAAACTGCGAAGATACCGGTGGTCGAATCTAACTAGCCTCTTTATGTCCACCGATCTTAGGGGCCAGGTTTCGCAACCGTACAGTAAGGTCGAACGTACGGCTTCATTGTACTCTCTACTCTTCAGGAAAAGAGTGATGTCGCACCGGCGCTGTAAGTGGCGAAGGTTAGCGTAAGCGCCTACTGCTTTTGCCGTGTTCATTTCCGACGGCGCCGATACAACTACCTAGTTAGTTGAACTTTTGAACGACTTCTAGCTGATCCCCACCATGGGTCATCGCAAGAGGCAGTCCGTGCCAATCTTGGGAGAAAGCTTTGCACTTTATGGGCGCGAATCATATCCCGAAACTTGTGACAGCCGGTGCTAGTTTGTCCCGTGCCACTTGTTACGTTTGGGAGCAGTCACAGAAGCGCGCAATATCGTCAGTTTACTCCAAGTCGTTCACCTTTGGGCAACTCCACATTTTGTAATTCGTGTCCTGTGAACGCGATTTCCATGACTTCGTCAATGGCGAAGTTGGAGAGAATAGGCGACAGCGTGCCGTAATCTTTCCTTCTGCCCGAGCTACACACGTAAAGCGCTCTCATCATACTTACATACTTCTCGGGGACACCTTTCCTCATTAGACAATCCCAAAGAGCACGTCCATATACCGAATCGAAGGCACCTTTACTGTCGAGGAACTCGACAACGTTGGGCCGCCAATATATGTGATGGTGTTCCAACAGCTGACGTTATGTAAATATGTGGTCGATGCATCCCCCGACCACGAAGAAACCTGGCTTGCTCCTCACGAATTTGGCTCTCACCAATGCCACTAAGTCTGTGAAGGGGTACAGAGGAAAGTAATTTGCAGGCGATGGGGATCAGACTGATTCCTCTATGCTTGACGCATTCCGAACTCTAGTCTTCTTTAAAGATCGGGTCAGTTGGGACGGTTTCCTGTTCCCACAGTTTCACTAGTAATTCGTGTTAATCATCAACAAGAGCAGGGCCCCCGAATCCGAAGTGGGCTGGAGGAAGATTATCCGGTCCCGCGGCTTTATCCAACTTCAACAATCGATCTTTCGTTCTCCTTTTGAGCGAGAGAGTGGGTCCAAAGGAGCAGGGCGATTACTGGCCGGTACGGAATCTAACAATTCCGGCTGATTAAGTTGCTTTTCAAAATGCTCAACCCAATGCTCCAAGCGTTTTGACAAGTTGTGGATGAGCGGTCCACTCTCGTCATAAATAGTTTCACTAACACCAGGTGTCTTGCTGCCCGTTTCCTTCATCAGACGTAACAACTTCTGATGATTACCAAGGGCAGCGGCCACTTCCGTCTCTGACTCACGAAGAGACCACCAAGATTCGCGGTTTCTCTTCAGGCTAACACGAAGTTCTTCCTTGATATCTTTGCGAG